GGAAAGAAGGGACTGCAATGACTCAGCCTGTTCCATTCCTCCTCCACAAGGGGCCTCATCACTAGGAGTTTCAGTACCACCCACATTTCATCTTTGTATTGCTTTAGATATGAAGGGTCTCAGGCAAAATCTAATTCCTTTTCTGAATTGGGATTCTGATTTGGTGCCTGATTCTCATACTTTCCACAGTTCAGGCTCAAGGCTAGTGCAATAACCCAACCACAAAGGAACCTGGTAAACTTGTCATTGTCAGCCTGGAGAAATGACAGACCACTACACGGAACAACTTTCTAAGTGTCAGAACCACCCCAAGAAAGAGTAGGCTGACTTTACAGGTGGTGAGCTCCCTGTCACTGGAAAGGTTCAAGCAAAACCTGGATAACTACCTGGTGGAGAGGTTGTAAAGGGAAGTCATCCTTTAAGATCTTTCCCAGTCCTGTGTCCGTGATTCTGTGCTCTCTTTTAGCCTCTCCACTTAGGACGGGCTTCCCCTGCCGAAGCTTCGTGTGCCCTCACCACTCTGAGTATCCATTTCTTTGGCAGAAAATACTCTGCCAAATGGCAGCATAAGTCTGCTTTCTCTCTATTTTCCTGTGTATGTTTTCCCTCCCCAGTGGCAGGCAATACCTCCCTTGCTCTTTCTGCTCTAAACACAACTAGGGTTTAGTTTATTTATTTATTTTTTTACGAAAGCTTGTTATCCTCCAAGAAATAAATAAAGATGTTGTAAGTAAGCAGAAAAGGCAGGAATCCAGGCATCTGCAGTTCCCGCCTCAGGATTTTATTTCCTGGGGAAATGCCCAGTGGGGATCACTCTAGGGCTGTCCCCAAAGATATATTATAATAAACCACTGAGAGAATAAAGCTTCTGTGTCTCTGCCCTGGTAGCAAAGGCAGACCTACCGCTAAGAAGAGAGATCTTCCTGGCAGAGGAGAGCAACGATATAGCCAGGCTACCCACTCAGAGGAGAACCAAGAGTCTTCAACCCTGCTACTATAAGGGATTTAGAACATTTCAAAACTTGTGTAACTTCTCACAAGTGAGTTAGATGTATTATCTCCTCTAGATTTTCCAGTAGGGATTAGTACTAAAATGTAAATGCCCTCCTTACTTGTTTAAAGGGACTAGAAAGCAAAGAGCCCGGAAGGCAGTGTCTCACTTGAAGGCTAATCTTGGTGGAGAGAATCCCAAGGGATAGAGTGCCAGCTCAAAGATAAACCCTACAGAATGAACTTCAGAGCTCAAGACTCAGATTCCTGAATGCAGCTAATTTGTGAGAAGTGGAATCACAGATACCTTCTAGTGCATCCACCAAGCCTTCTTTTTTCTGAAGTGTTCATGACACACTGGGGGCAGCCCTCAGGCAGTTGTGTCTACACCCTGTAACTCCATCCCCTGGCCATAAATGATTGGACCGGAGGAGAACACTTGACCAGGATGGCCCAAGTCATTTGAACTGAGGGACAGGGCTGGGAGCTGATCACTGAGCCATGCTATTAGCAGTGCTCTTGGGCCAACTAACAGCAGCAGCAGGAGCAGCAGCAGCAGTGTCACCTGGGAATGTGTTAGAAATGCAAATTGCTAGGCAGGGCAGTGGCTCATGCCTGTAATCCCAGCACTTTGGGAGGCCGAGGTGGGTGGATCACGAGGTCAAGAGATCAAGACCATCCTGGCCAACAAGGTGACGGCCCATCTCTACTAAAAATACAAATATGAGCTGGGCGTGGTGGTGCACGCCTGTAGTCCCAGCTACTCAGGAGGCCAAGGCAGGAGAATCACTTGAACCCGGGAGTTGGAGGTTGCAGTGAGCTGAGATCAACTGCACTCCAGCCTGGCGACAGAGCGAGACTCTGTCTCAAAAAAAAAAAAAAAAAAAAAAAAAAAAAGAAGAAGAAGAAGAAGCAAATTCCTGCTAGAGTTTGGGCCCAGGAGTCCTCCTGGTGATTCTGATGCTACTGAAGTTAAAGAAGCTTTGCCCTAGAGGGAAGGAAGTCTACGAACTCCTACTGCTAAGTTCCTCCCTCAGCTAGGTTATTCAACTGTTTCTTTGAATTCCATGAGACACTGCAATATATTTCGAATAAATCAAATATAATATACCTTAAGCTACTTCCAATTGGTTTCTATTACGTGCAACCAAGAGAACCTTAACTGATACAGCTCGTTGAGCCTGAGATAACAGAAGTAGACAGCTCCATCCCCCAAGTCACTACTAACTACCCTCTCTCTCTTCATGCTGGACCCCAAAGAAAGGAGGGCCACAGCCAGGTCACCTCCCATTCATCTGGTGGGAATCATCCTAATCCCTCCTTTCTCTCCTTTCTGCCCTACAGTTATTTGGATTTGCCCTTTTATTAATTTGTTTTTCAGCTCACTTTTTAAACTGACAAATAATAATTGTTTATATTTATAGGGTACAATATGATGTTTCAATATATGTCTATATTGTGAAACTATCAAATCAGGCTAATTAACATATCCATCCCCTCACATACTCATTATTTCTTTGTGGTGAAAACACCTGAAATCCAGCCTCTTAGCAATTTTGAAATACATATTATTAACTAAAGCTATCATGCTGTACAATAGATCAGAGAACTAACTCCTCCTAACTGAAACTTTGTACCCTTTGGTCAATATTTCCCCTCTCCCCAGATCCTTTACATACCATCTCAACTTATAAGCTAACAAGTTGCTGTAATGCCTTGATTCTTCCCGCTTTGGTCAGTGCTATAACTAACCCCTCTGTCTCCGTAGCAGAGGTATCCACCCCCCTTTTTCCCAAGGACACATTTCTCTTCCATTTCCTTTGAGGGAGGTAGAAAGCTTCTCACAGTAGCAACCAGGATTATATGATTAGTATAGACACCATTCAGACACCAACCAAAGCTGCCTAGCTCTAAAACCCATATTCATTCCACTGTAACGCTGTGTTTCCCCCGCAAACCATCTCCTTAAGCCCATGTGCCTCTGAGTGAGGAGGCAGCAGCTGAGCTAAGAGCCTCCCTGCCATCCCCCCATCCAAACTGAGTAAGTTATGCATCACTTAAGACCAGGATACTTTTGAGAGATGTGTCATTTGGGCAATTTGGTTGTTGTGCGGACATCAAAGAGAATATTTACACAAACCTAGATGATATAGCCTAGTATACACCCAGGCTATATGGTATATCCTGTTGCTCCCAGGCTAAAACCTGCATAGCATGTTAGTGCATTGAATACTGTAGGCAACTGTAACACAGTGGCAAGTATTTGTGTCTCTAAACATAGGAAAGGTACAGTAAAAAGATGGTATTATCATCTTTTGTGACACGTGATCGAACATTGACCAAAATGTCATCAAGTGACTTATGACCATATTGTGCTCTGCAAAGCAACAGATTTTACCCTTGATTTTACTACCTTGTTTTATGGGTGTGTGTGTGTGCATGCATGTGTGTGTGTTAACAAGTTCAGTTCCAAACAGCTGTTTGTAAGTCTGCTTGTTTGCAACTGCAAAGAACCTCATGAAGGTTAAGCTTATAATCCCCAGACCCGTTTCCACTAGATAGACGAGTGAGTTGATGCTTCACATAATATGTTTTGCTCTGATGTGTCTTTTCCAAAACAGCCCTAGTTCTCCCACTTTTAAAATCTGTTAAGGCAAGTAAACCTCCTCCTTAAAGCTCTCTACAGAGAAAGTCTTGGCGGCTACAGTGTCAACATCTCTTTGACCTTGTATAGACTTTAGGGGCCCTGAGCCTGAAAAATCATTTATGGCTTGCAACAAGCAACAGTTTACCATGGACTTTAAGTTCTCAAACAGACTCCTATCCTTTCCTGAACTCATAGTAGGCTAATGAGGCTCCACTGATACTTCTCCTCTCTAGCCATGCACTCAAAAGTTTTTCTCCTTTTTTGATTTTTGGCAATTGCTTCTCATTACATTTTGCTGATTATTGTCAATAGCATGGGTGCAGCACTTTTTTTTACATGTTGCCTGATTTACTTTCCATCCTTCACAATCACACCACTGTAAAAAAAAAAAAAAAAAAAAAAAAAAAAAAAAAAAAAAAAAACCATTTCACTTGCAACATCCATTTTCTCACCACTTTCAATTTTTAAAATCATTATTCCACTTTGGATTGTATCGTAACCATATGTCTCTTCTAACCAGCATTTTCAATAAGCTCACTTGCCACTTCTCCACTTATTGGTCATGATGATAACAACATTTATAAAATACTTTCAGTGTAACACAGACAGCGCAAACATGCCCCAACAAATCAGGTGACAACGAGTCACAACTGCTACCGCCATCTGTTGGTAGCAGGAAGAGCTAAAGTGCTTTTGCCATGGAGCAGCAGTCAACAGGCTTTAGGTATTTATAAATAAAGTTTTATTGAAACACATCCATGTCTATTTATTTAAGTACTGTCTATGTCAGCTTTTGAGCTACAGTGGCAGAGTGGAGTAGTTGTGACCGAAACCGTATGGTCCTCAACACCAAAAGTATTTATGATCTGGACCTTTACAGAAACAGTTTGCCAACCCCTGCTCTGGAGTGTTTATAAAAATTAATACATTTAAAGTTTGCAAATAGAGAAATATACAGCTTGAGTCTGCATGTGACTCAGTGATGTGGGAGGGATCCAAGGGGAGGTAATTGAATCATGGGGACCAGTCTTTCCTGTGCTACTCTCGTGATAGTGAATAAGTTTCATGAGATCTGACGGGTTTATCAGGGGTTTCTGCTTTTGATTCTTCCTCATTTTTTCTCTTGTTGCCACTATGTAGGAAATACCTTTCACCCCTGCCATGATTCTGAGGCCTCCCCAGCCATGTGGAACTGTAATTCCAATTAAACCTCTTTTTCTTCCCAGTCTCGGATATGTCTTTATCAGCAGCATGAAAATGGACTAACACACTCAGATAGATGGCCCTTGTGAAGCTCATTTGCATGAGACCTGAGAGCCTTTTGAGAGAATTTATCCTAAGTAAAGAAGGGATCAAACTCAAATAACCTGACCCAGCTGGATAGTTTAATCAATGAAAGGAAATTTCTCATTACTACCTGATGGTTGTAAGTCCAGCTCATCTTAGTCTATTTCCATAGACACGCATCTGGATCTTGGAGTGGAGTGAGCTTAACTCAGTCAACTGTGGCCTCAATAATGCTGCGTAACAAACCATCCAAAACTTGGTGGCATACAACAGTCAGCATTTACTCCTTATTCTGGCATCTGCAGGTCTACTGGGGAGGCTCTGCCTCAAGCCACAGGCCTGCTGTATCTGGCTTTGTTCCCCAGGTTTCTCGATCTGGAGGGCATGCTCTTCTCCCGGCAATGGCAAAGGCCCAAGAAGGCAAATCTAACTGCACAAGCATATTCCAAGCTTTTGCTTGCTTTGTGTCTGCTGACGTCCCATTAGCTCAAGCAAGTCACGCGGCCAAGCTCAGCATTAACGGTTGGTAAGTACATTTCTCTCCTAGAGGTTTGGGGAGAGAAAATGAATATTTGCTAAACGATAAAACACCTAAGTGAAGACAGGAGGGCCTGTGTCATCCAACTTTATAGAAGTTTGGGATGTCTCCAAGATAGTGCAGCACAAGAGGCAAGAGGCTTTCTCCCTTCCTCCCCACCTGCAACAGACCACTATTCAGCTTTGGCCCTCTGAACTGTGTCCCTTGAGAGATGGCAGCAATAACAGAGCCCAGTGAAGCAACAGTGGGCCAATAGTGGTGACTGGTGGACACTTCTGGGCCTGGCAGACAAGCAGCAGAGCTCAAGGGGTTGCCCAGGAGTGCAGAGGGAGAGGCTGCAGTGCCCAGCAGAGCAGCAGCAGTGCCCGGAGTTCCCAGCACCTGCAGAGTAGCTATGACGTCTGCAGAGCCATGCCCAGCAGAGCAGCAGCACCCCCTAGAGGGCAACATGGTGCTCACTGAAACAGCAGCAAGTATCCAGAAGTGCCAGAGACATCCCAGGAATTCTTGGGAAACTACGAGATTTTTCAGAGGATGGTAAGGTGGGGACGCAAGACAGTGAAATTTGAGTCATTCCTGTTACCCATGATCTCATTGATACCCATGGACCGGTGGATCCTGGGGAAATTTCTATTATATAAAGTGGGATGTCTAATCCTGAATCCCAGACTCCCTCAGAGCAGAAAACAAGTTCCCCAAAATACATACACACACAGATACATGAACACATACAGAGAGAGGGGGAGAGAGAGAGAGAGAGAGAGAGAGAGTGCACAAATACCCTTAGATCCCACCCATTAGAAAGAAACAGGAGCCTTGGCTTCTCCTAGCATCCCCTTCCTTCCTTCCATAGACTCATCAAACATAGATTTCTGCCTATTCTAACCAAGACAAGCCAGTGATCTGTAAATAATCCTGTGCCTGGAGGGCAGAGTAGCCTCAATTCTGGGGTCTCAGGAGAAGAACATTGGAATGGCCTCTTTGTGGGGAAGCTCCTCCCAGCTCTCCATCTGTCCAGCCCCAACAAGCCCTGTAGCTGGAGATCATTAAGCAGTAAGGACATCCCTAATGGTGGCTAATGGCGGGCTTAAGTACTCGTTACCCGAAAGAACCCCTGGGGTTGGCTCACTTACTGTATTGAGTGATCCTGCAGACCCACAGAGCCACTCTTTCTAATGAGGAGATCGACTGAATGCTGAATTCAAGCCCAGAAAATGGCTGGGGAGGGAAGGGGAGCCCTGCCAAGGCCCTCTGTAAGGGTCGAATGTGAAAGCACAGCCCTCCTCTTGCTGTTCCCCTGTGGCTCCAGTTGCCCAGGCTGCCCTGAGGGGTTGAATAGTGAATATGGCGTTAATATTTATCAGCTGAGGCTTTCAGGCCAGCCTCAACTTTCACCTCCACTCTAACTCAGTCACCAATCCCATGATAACAGCCTGGAGCCCTTGCTTCCCCAGAGCTACCCTGCTTCAAAAATCCATTCTGCCTCTGGTTGCCTGCCTTCCAGGCTCTCTCCCACCTGCCTCCCACCACCCCTGCCTTTCCTTGCACATTCTCTATACCAGTCATGACCACACATTTCTTCCAAGTGTTCAAACCACAAACTTAAATATCCATCCTCTCCTTTGAATCCATCACCAAATCCTACTGACTCTTCTTTCTAAATGTCTCTTAAATTTACCCAGCTCTCTCCATCTTCCTTGTGCAACTTCCCATCATCTCTCACTTGGCCCACTTTGGTGGACCTCAATGGCAAGGACCCTGTTGTATCCGTCTTTGTATCTCAAACGTTGCACCCAGGCCTGGCACAAGATAAGAAATCACGAAATTCTTATCAAACGAATGGGCCAAAACATATTCATGGCATTGTTCTCAGTTTGTGTCCCTTCCCCAGTACTAGCTGTGTGTACTTGGACTGGTCACTTGACTGCTCTGAGCCTCTGATTCTCCACCTGAGAAGCAGATAATTCGATCTCAAGTAGAATGGTTTTAGAGATAGAAGGAAATAACACTATAACAGAAGGAATTAGTTCTGTTAATAGTAAAATGAGAAACATTGACTTAAGCCAAGGAGGGCTTTTCTTTCTTCTCTGGTAAGAAGAAAGCCTCTGGAAGATGTTGTTGCTATGTTGGCCCAAAGGCACAGGGACATCTAGGCCAAGACTTCTACCATATTCTTAGCCTTTTCCTTATGATTAACTCATGGTTACAATATGGCAACTGTGCCGCCAACATCAGCCCACTTTCCAGGTAAAAAGAAGGGGAAATGCCAAGGGCAATGAACAAAAGGAGTTCATGCTAACTGAATCTGCCATTATAAAGAACTCCATGCAGTTTCAATTTGGCCAAAAAATAAAGCTTTGGACCAGACATCAAATATCTGCATCAATGGCTGTATCAGTCAGGGTTTTTGTTAAAGGTACTGGAAACATCTCTGGCTATATTAATTTTTAAGATAATTTCTCTTGGGAGGCTGAGGCAAGAGAATTGCTTGAACGCGGGAGGTGGAGGTTGCAGTGAGCTGAGATCATGCCACTGCACTCCAGCCTGGGCAACAGAGCGAGACTCCATCTCAAAAAAAAAAAAGAGAGAGAGAGAGAGAAAGAGAGAATTTCTTAGAATGATATTGGAGGCTCACAAAATTATTATGAGGCTGAGGTACCAGGGTTGAAAAATAAGCAAGAACCAAGGGCTCCCCCAAGGGCCAAAACACAGGAAATGATCTGGCTAGGATGCTATGGTTACTACAGAAGAAGGACACTGACACTAGCCACAATTGCTGTTGTCACTGGGCACTACCAAGGTTACCACAAATGAATTCCCAACCATTGGTGGGAGTTTTTTCATTAAGTGCTCCATACTGAAAGTCTAGCACAACCGATTGGCCAAGCTCAGTGTATCAATCAGGGTCCTGGCAGGAATTGGGAAGGGTTTGAGAAGAGTTTAATAAAGGGGCCATTTACAAAGGTGAGAGGAGGGTATAGGGAAACTGAAGGAATGGTTCAGCATTCTGGAGTTTGTAATAGCAAAGTGCCATGATTGCCCACCTGCAGAAGGCAAGGAACAGAGTGGTTACTAGAACCCAGAAAGAAAAGAAAGTTTTGCAGAGAGGGAGGGCCACCTACAGGAGCTATAACTTTTGGTGGAGGGACACAGTCAGTCAGTCTAAGGTGATCCTGCGGGGAAAGATCTAGGAAAATCAATGCCCTGACCTCACTATTCCTTCTTTCTAACCTCCTACAACACTCTTCATTGACCACACCCACCTGAAACCAAAAGGGCAAGGAGCTCATTGATCTAGTGGGGAAAGGCCAGCCCCTGGGGACACAGAACAGAGTGGAGAATGGTGGCAAAATAATCTGAAGAAGCCAATAACAATATCTAGCACAAGCCACCCTTTTTACATCTCAGCATCTACTTTGGTCATTCCTCAGGGTAAAAAGTTCATGTCATCAATACAAAGAACACACAAAGTCCATCTCTTCTGTATTATTACAAGGTAATGTCAATTCAGTCAAACTCTCTACTGAAACCTAAAAAAGGAATACCACCAGTATTCTTCATATAAGGTAGTAGAGGAGGAGAAAAAGAGAAAAATAACTGGCATAAAGCTTAGCTGCTACTCTCCATGCTTTTACAGCTGAACATGAGACCTAAGTAGGTAACCATAGTGCCCTCTTCTACTGCCCAATCCATGTACCCCTTGGCCTCTTGGAATGCCTTCACCGAATGGGACTTATTGCCCAATGGAGTGACCTAATCCTTCATTCTTGTGAGATCCAAGTCCTCAGTGGTCTTGTCTGTATTAGGTTGCCACAGTTTTCCATTGGTCAGGACTATTGCAGAGGTGAGTACTGACATATGTTCCAGTGGCCCTGTGGTTCCAAAGGAGGGTACTTCTTGCCCCCATTGTGTGGCAACAAACCAATTTCCCCTGGCAACCAGGATCAACTATCCTGGTCAGCACAGAGATGCCCCCTTTAGCGTGGTGGTTCAGCCACACAGGGATCCCAGAATGGCCAGGGGACTATCTCAGCTTCTAATTACCGGGAAGCCCAAGGTCAAGGAGACAGCAAGTGAAAGAATCTTCAAGTAGGTTACTAAGTGTAATTGTGAAAGAACTACTTCCACTTCTTCCTTGGGGCCTAGATCCGTTCACTCTGGCTATGGAACAGCACCAGATACTGACTACTGGTTTAAGGCATACACCATACCCTGCAGAATCCAACCTCACCTTCACAGATGCTATTCATCAACTGAGGCTATTCAGTTGTAACTGAGCTTTCAGCAGACCTCTCCTCCACCTTATCAAGTCAGTTTCTTCTGGGTGATGGGGCATGTGGTTAGAATAGTGTGTGTTGTCTTTAGTTCAGTACCTTACTCCTTTGCCTTAAAAAGTGTGCCCTGGTTGGAGGTATTACTGTGTGGATACCAAGGGGATGATAAGTCCAGAAATGATGGTTCTGAACTTCATCTGGTACTGTGGGCAGGAAAAGAAAGCCTATATCTGATGTACAACCTACTCATCCATGCCCAAACAATGTACCATGGGAGGGCTTTGCTTCACCAAAGTATTAGGAAATGCATTGGCAAGGAGGCAGAGGATTCACGGAAATCACGGGGCTTATCACCTGCCCCACTTCCCAGAAGCAGCTGGCCTGATAGGAAGGTGAAACAGTCTGCTGAAGGTTCAAAGCAAGTGTCTCTGCTTGTGGATTGTTATAGAAGTTACACGCTCCTTGTCTCTGATGGTTCGTCACCACCATCTGGCCTCAACAGCACTGGGACCCCATTATTCCACAGAGATCAAGGATCCTAATTCCATCTCCAGCTTACACATGAGTCACTGCAGAGCTCTTCAAGGATTCTGGTGCCTATTGTCAATGCATTTTTCAACATCTTGGTGCACCCTCCACCCCCATGGCATACCCAGGAAGGTTTCACGGACTCTTTCTCCCTGCAGAACTCTTAGATCATCAGTACCAGCAGGCAGGGTGACTTCAAATGTAGTCATCAAGCACAGACATGCGTGCACATGCAGGCAAGTCTTCCTAATGTCCTAAGGGACAAGCCACAGTTCAACACCATTCCCATCATCACCAACCCTCAGGTGAATTGGCCACCATGCCATTTTCCTAGATCACTAGGCAAAGCCACAGTCGGGAACTCAATGACACCCAAGAGAGATCCCCAACAGCACAGTTCACCTGGCACATTAACCAGCCCTCCAGGCCATTGTTAAACCACAGCCAATGGCAACTGTAAGTGACTTTGTGTACACACATACCTCACACTCAGCACATATAGCCTTTACACACCTCAACCGCATCACACCTGCACCCCTCAAAGAGGTTCCCCAGACAGCACATCATCAGCAATTCTACACACGGGCTTATACACAAATACACAGACACTTGGATCTTTCTTTAAAATAGAGTTGTGCCACAGAAAGCACTTTAAGCAGTCTACTTAGAGAGCTCAGAGATCTTGTGTGGGAGGCAGGTCAGGGGCTGGGTGAGGGGAGGAATATTGAAACCAGACATAAATGGAGTGGAGGCAGGCAGGTTTACCCTGAAGTTGTTTTATGCCTCTCACAATGGCTACCAACATCTCAGAAGTCAGGAAATTGAAAAGTGAGCATCTCATGCTATCCACTTAGCGGAGTGGCTATCTGGAATTGAATTCTGAGAGAAGGAGAGAGAGAGAGAGAGGAATCATTTGTCCTCAGAGAAGGACTAAGAAGGATCTGTGCAATGAAGACAGCCCACATCCTAAAGATACCCAGATCTGGGTTACAGCTGCACTAATTAGCTGTGTGAGCTTGGGCAAGTTATCTCACTTCTCTGAGCTTCAGTTTCCCAGTTTTATAATAGGGTTACCGTGAGAGTTCGATAAGACAACTTTAGGCAGTACCTGGCATTCAAAAAGTGCCATTTCTCTTTTCTCCCCCCTTCCCATAAGGGAGAATGAGAAACATGAAGCCTCCAGGGACACTGGGCTTCACACTCCACGATCAGGCACTGAATCCCAGCCACTCTACTGAAATTTGATTTCTGTCGCTAAAGTGCTTCACCCCTGAATACTGGATCTGAGTTTGACCCAGTATTTGGGTCTCTGCCCATTTTTGGCTCCATGCTGTGATTTGGTTTTCTGCCTGTATCTTCTCCCACGAACTCTTTTTGCTCACCCTGCTTTCTGACTCAACTCCATTCTATCATTTTTCTATTTTTCTCTCTGTTTCTTCCTTCCTCCCTCCCCCCTTTCCTTCCTTCCTTCCCTCTTTTCTTCTTTCCTTCCTTTCATTCCCTCCTCTCTCCTTCCTTCTCTCCGTGTATCCCTCCTTCCTTCCTTCTCTCCTCTGTCCCTCCTCCCTGTCCAGAATAGCTCTGAAAAATCTACAACATGCCCAATGCCGTGCTAGACACACAGCCTAACAGACAGTCCCAGAAACAAGACAGATGTGGTCTCTGATCTCAAGGGCCTTCATTCAGATAGGAGAGACAGAACATGAACAAATATATAACAGAATGTTAAAATGCAATTGTTAGCCAGGGCACCAAAAGACAATAGCTCTCATATGTCAAAGGAGGTAGTAGACCGTATGCACAATTTGCAAAGGAGGTTGTAAACATCAGTTTCACATCCAGTGTATGTGCAGGTCAAGAGTTGGATTTGGAAACAAAAAATATTTTAGCAGAGAATTTCTTGGAGTATGCTGTGCTACTAATCTTACCTCTACCCAGGGGGGAGGAGTGGGAGGCTCTGGAAGGCTGTGGGAGGTACAACTGTATTGACAGGTGTTTGGTTTTTCTTCACTTGTGGGCATCAAAGAGATTGTACTTCATCTACCTTACCTTGAAGTCAGGGATGGCATAATTTGCTTTGGTCACTGAAATGTGCCACTGTCAGATAGAAGCATTTCATGACAGACTCAGCCCTGCTGCCCTCTCTTCCTTTGCTGTGACAATTGTAGAAACACTTTTTAAAATGATTTAATTTTGTTAAAGTTATGTAGCCCATGAATATTTACAACAACTACTGAAAAGAAAGAGGGGGTCATCTTAGGTTCTGTCAATAATATCTGAGTGACTATCTATGCCTACTCAGCAGCTACTTAAGATAAAAATTATTTTCTCATATGAAGTAAAAGTTAACTAAAAATAGTTGTTTTTTCTCATGCAACAGGGTTTTTGTTGCTGTTGTTGTTATTGTTGTTGCTGTTGTTGTTGTTGTTGTTGTTGAGAGGGAGTCTCACTCTGTCACCCAGGCTGGAGTGCAGTGGCACAGTCTCGGCTCACTGCAACCTCTGCCCCCTAGGTTCAAGCAATTCTCCTGCTTCAGCCTCCCGAGTAGCTGGGATTACAGGCACCTGCCACTGAGCCCGGCTAATATTTATATTTTTAGTAGAGTCGAGGTTTCACCATCTTGGCCAGGCTGGTCTTGAACTCCTGACCTGGTGATCCTTCCACCTCAGCCTCCCAAAGTGCTGGGATTACAGGCATGAGCCACCATGCCCATCCCGCAACAGGGTTTTTTATTGTGGGTAAATATGCAAACATAAAATTCACAGTTTTGACCATTTCCAAGTATACAGCTCAGTGGCATTGAATACATTCACATTGTTATGCAACCAACGTGGCCATCCACCTGCAGTAATTTTTTGTACAACCATTTTGATATCCGGGTGCCATAGATTAAAGCGTCCTGGAGCACTCAGTCAACACTTGGAGGACAACTGTCCCTTTGTGTTATCTGGACCCACAGTGGATTGAAAGCAAGAAATAAACTTGTGTGGTATTAAGCCACTTTGGTTGGGGTCCGTTTGTTAGCTCAGCATTATCTAGCCTAGCCTGGTGAGTGCACAGGTGCTACCCCCTCACCCCAAATCAAGAGACTTTGGCTTTGTGATACCCCTTGGAGAACGTAATATGGGAATCCTGTAGTCTCACTTGAGAAATCCAAATGTCAAGAGGCTGGCTGCCGCAGCCTGTGATGCAGAGCTGAGGGCTACAGTCTGGAAAGTGACTTTCTTCCAGAGTTTGCCAGAGCAAAGGAATAACAAGACTTTCACATGAATCTGATATAAGTCAAGTGCAAGAGAAAGCCAGGGTGGGGGTCATCTTAGGTCCTATCAAGGAAGGCCACATGGAAGAGCAAACAGACCTCAGCAGAGAGAAGGCAGAGACACTGCTGGATTCTCAGGAGAATGCAAACAGCCGAAATAGAAATGCATGTGGTCTAGACCAGGGACTGCAGGTGAGAGATCTTCAGTGAGAAGGTGGGCATCTCTGAAGTCTCCCAAAAGCATCCATGAGAGGAAGAAGTCATTTTAAACATCTGCCAAGTCCAAAGAGATTTGAAGCTGGTCACCACTATGATAACAGTCAAGTGAAGTCATCCTTCCTCCCCTAACCTCTTCTATGACTCCCTCATCCAGTCCTGGAGGCATCATGAACATGGCTAACAAGATGAGAGAGGAGTAGAAGTACTATGTGAATGAAGAAAGAGAGAAAGCACCAACCATACATCTTCCTTCCCCTACAGCTTCCAGCGTGCAACAGGCTGAGTCGAGAAGTCTATCCTTCAAGGCAAGACTGTGGGGCTGCATATTTTAATTACTAAATTAGAAATATAGTTAAAACTTAAAGTATCTACAGGACTTTTTATTATATGGTAACAATCATAGATGTTAAGAGCCCAGCTGGGTTTTTATCCAGAGATAAGAGAAGAAGGAGGCCCATAGAATGTATTTTAACTGCGACCATGGGAGACAAAAATAAAATTGCTTTAGGACTGCATCTCACAAGTCATACTCCTTCAACATAATGGCACAAATAAATCTACACATTTTC